GCTCTGACCATAATGTTGTTTTAGTGCGTCCTTTATCCGGTTTAAGCCGATACTACCCGATACATGGGCGGATATCCGCTACAGTACGCAGTTGTTTCCGGAATAGCGCATAGATACTAACCCAAGGGGATTGCTAACTCACGGTTTGGCCGCCGCTTGGAAACGCTTAGTGTTCGTGACCGGTGGCGCGACCGAGGCTGATACGGCGGCTAGGCGAACTATAATAAATGGTTGCATCTAAGTGCTTAAGTACACGGGTAGCCGGTACGGGGAGATTACGGTACGCATATATTTGCAAATATATTGACTAATCCTGCGTCAATAAACTCAATATTCACAGAGAGTATAGCTAAGACATGTGTCTATAAGGTATCTAGAGATTTTAGAAATTTAATCATTTGATAATTCACTTCTGCGCACGTCATATAGAATTTTATATTTGCTATATTGACTAATCGTGCGTCAATAAACTCACTATTCACAGAGAGTATTCAAGCCGGTAAGGGAGATCATTTGCATAATATATTCTAGATACATATATTATAGATATTATATAGATTTTATAGATTATAGATTATAGATTAGATTATATTATATATAGATTATAGATATTATAGATATTATACATATATTATAGATATTATAGACACATGTCTTAGCTATACTCTCTGTGAATATTGAGTTTATTGACGCATGATTAGTCAATATATTAGCAAATATATGCGTACCGTAATCTCCCCTATACGCTTGAATATAGACAGCTCCCTAAGCACACTGATCTCTATAATAAAATCTTTATTATTATTAAAGTTATTATAGTGATCAGTGGCTAAGCATCATAAGTTGCATCATAGGAGGAGTATATGTTGGAGAGAATTCGATTCAGAAGAATTAATTAAGAATGGAAGATATAAGTTGGAAAGGTGGAAAGAACTGCTGTGTGCCGGTTTCGCGCGAAATATCTGACGAGTGCGAAATATCTGAGATAGCCCTGCCCCGCCCCGCCCCGACCCGACCAATGACAGCTCGTCTTGTGTTACGATAAGTTGTGCACACTAAATACCAAGTTCTGCCGTTAGGCAGGGTAGCGAAGGAGCAGTGTAGGGAGAGGGAGGAGGATGGAGAAGGAAGTTTAGAGTAGTACTAGTAGGTGGAGTAGGAGAAAGGCTAGTGAAGAATGAGGAAGAGGGGTAGATGGTGGGAAAGAAGGAGGGGAGAAGCTGTGTGGACAAGGAGGAGGGGGAGAAGCTGGTGAAGAAGGAGGAGGGGTGGAAAAAGAGGAGTGGGAGAAGCTGGTGGAGAAGGAGGAGGAAGGGGAGAAGCTGGTAGAGAAGGAGGAGGGGGAGAAGCTGGTAGAGGAGGAGAAGGAGGAGGAGGAGGAGAAGGAGGAAGGGGAGAAGGAGGGGGAGAATGAGGAAGGGGAGAAGGGAGGTGGTGGAGAAAGAGGGGAGAAGCTGGTGGAGAAGGAGGAGGGGGAGAAAGCAGAATGTGTGGAGGAGGAGGGGGAGAAGCTGGTGGAGAAGGAGGAGGGGGAGAAGGGAGAAGCTGGTGGAGAAGGAGGAGGGTAGAAGGGAGAAGCTGGTGGAGAAGGAGGAGGGGGAGAAGCTGGTGGAGAAGGAGGAGGGGAGAAGCTGGTGGAGAAGGAGGAGGGGGAGAAGGAGGAGGGAAGAACGAGGAAGGGGAGAAGGAGGGGGAGAATGAGGAAGGGGAGAAGGGAGAAGATGGTAGAGAAGGAGGAGGGGGAGAAGGGAGAAGGTGGTGGAGAAGGAGGAGGGTTCCTTCTCTACCAGCTTCTCCCCTCCTCCTTCTCCACCAGCTTCTCCCCTCCTCCTCCTCCTCCACCAGCTTCTCCCTTCTCCCACTCCTCCTTCTCCACCAGCTTCTCCCCCTCCTCCTTCTCCACTAGCTTCTCCCCTCCTCCTTTCTACCAGCTTCTCCCTTTTCCCCCTCCTCCACCAGCTTCTCCCTTCTCCCCCTCCTCCTCCACCAGCTTCTCAAGAGTTATTCATGTTGTTTGTGCACGCAGCACAGGGCGGGCGGGCGTGCGGTGTACTTGTGTGTTGCAGATGAGCATTTGACCGCGCATTTACAGGTGATTATAGGCGAAATAGAGTAGGCCTAGAGAAACATTAAGACTTTGGTACATTTCGTGTTTATTTACCATTAATTTTTTTTATTGAGACGTTCCAAAGGCCTGTGATCCAAAGGTTCTGCTCCGATGCTATTGCTAATGTTGTCAAGCTCCTGCAAAGAGAATATTATTATTACTAATACTATATTACAGCATATACAGTATAAAATACTATAAATACTATATGCAGTATACTAGCCGAGAGTAGTATATAAGTATATGAGTATATGATTATGAGTATAGACTAATAGAGTAGACTAGTATACTGACACTGTATACAATATACTATAGCTGCCTAAGCATGATACCACTTCCGAAACTTTAGATATTAGATGTATTATTTTAACTATGTCAGTAACTAGTATAAAGACAAGCATGTCATCAGCGAAATACACATTAATTTATATAAATCAGAAATACTTGATATTATAATTCAATGAAATACAAAAATAAATGATACATCATTCTGTCGCAATCTTGTGATCATTTAACCAATGTTTTGACTTTCCGAAACATCCAAAATGCTATATGCTGCATTACGCGACTGTAGTTCACTAATCTGCCGGTAGTGCAGTCTCGGTCGCGCCAGCCGTTGTCACTTCGCCGGGATATGCGGCGAGTTAGCAATCCCTTTGGGTTAGTATCATGAAATAGCGGCATGAGCAAGTTCATGAAATGTTATGAGCAGTAATGTTTTTATTTCTTGTTATCTAAGTAAAACAGGTAAGTTGTTACGTCAGGTTCTTTCGTAATATAGTGCATGTCACTCGATTTACTATGGACATTGGACTATGGAGGTGGCTTAAGTTAACAACGATACTGCCTGATCATCAATGTTTTTGCCAGAGGCGAGGGCCCAGTGGGATAGCCTATCGGCCAATGACGTTTAAATATCACAGATGGCGCCCGCGCCCGCAAAGCATGAATGGGATGGAACAGGGCTCGGCAACGATGCGGCGCTCATAGCATAATATGCATGCGGCACGCAGGGTGATAGGATAAGGGTACTCAACGTATTAAATCTCGCAAACGAGTTGAGTTACATTGTTCTAGAAAATCTAGAGGCACTATTACGACACATGTCCTTAGGCTATAATCTGCGAAATGTTTCAGTTTGTTGAAGCACGACTAGTGCTAAATATAATACTGAATATAATGCGAACCCACGTATCGCGCATAAGGCCGCCTATTGCTGTGCAGCGGCTTATACGCACGGCTATCGAGGTGATAGAAAGGGATACTAAACGCTTATATATCTGGCAAAACGAGCCGAGTTGACTGCATTTCTAGAAATCCGATAAGGAATATAGACACCATGTTCGTTAGCTATAATCTCCTGTTAAATTTTATCAGGTTTGTTGAAGTACGAGTAGCCTAGTCTAATTAATTACTATATATAATGCGAACGGTATCGGCATAGGCGCGGGCTATATGCCCGGCTATGGTCGAATAGGAAAGGATCTTGATACTATTATCCCTCATATCTTGCAACGGAGTTGAGTTACATTTCGTGGCAAATCCCATAAGCGCTATCTCCTAAGACACACACTGTTCGCACCTTAGCTATAATGTCTGTGAATTTATCACGTTTGTTGACGACAGCAGCGATTAGCTCTAATATAATTTAATCGCTAAATATATGCGAACGCGTATCGCGCATAGCGCGCCTTATTGCGATGCACCGGCTATACGCACGGCTTGCGGTGATAGCAAATATGATACTAACTATTATATGTTCACAAAGGACGTTTGAGCTTACATTTCTGATATCATAAGGACTAAGCACAAATGGTCTTCAGGCTATAATGTCTGTTAAATGTTATCCAGTTTGTTGAAAGCCAGCGATTGTCTAATTAATTACCAAATATAATGCGAACGGTGTATCGCGCATAGGCGCGCCTATTGCGGTGCACGCGCTATACGCACGGCTTTTGGGTGCATAGAAAAGGATTAACAAGCTATTATATCTTCCAAAGGCAGTTGAGTTACATTGGTCTAGAATCTAGAGGAATATTAGGACATGTCTAGCTATAACTTACTCTAAATTTTAAGTTTGTTGAAGCAGCGAGTAACGTCTAATTAATTCACTAAATATATCGGAACGGTATCGCGCTATAGGCGTCTATTGCGTGCCAGCCGGCTATACGCCACCGCTATGGGTGATAGAAAGGATACTAAACTATTTATATCTTCCAAAGGGAGTTGAGTTACTATGCTCTAGAAATCTAGAGCGAATATAGCACACACTGTCTTAGGCTTATAGACCTCATGTACAATTTTAAGTTTGTTTGAACGCACGACTAGATCTAATTTAATTGACTAAATATATTTGCGGTCTCGAGTAGGGAGGTGTCTGCCTTTCCATACATGTATATGGTTCATTTCGGTTTTTTGTTTGGAGTAACTCTGTGCTTATATTTAGCTGTAACTGCATGATGGTCGCTGATACTTGGGACAGTTTGGACTGCCTCGAGTAGGTCTGGAGAAGAGGTGAAAACAAGGTCAAGGATATTTTTCCCACATGTTGGTTCTTCAACCATCTGCGTTAGGTATAGGTCACTTACAGTGGAAAGTAGGGCTTCGTTAAGTTCCATGATGTATTGTGGTGCATCTTTAATTGTCAGAGTCCCAATCGATACTTGGCATGTTGAAATCACCAATAATTAGTAGTTCTGCTAATTTAGTTGTCAGTCTTTTGGAGTGATGTCTGGATTTTTAGGAGGTTTTCCAAATTGGCTGTAGGCGGTCTATAGCACTGGCAGACAACTATGCATAACGTTGGATTTCCTTTTGAAGTAAGTTTGACTGCTTGGAGTTCACATTCGATTCTGACATCCTCCAATGGTATCCTACAATCTCGGTGATGTTTATAGTCCTTCATTGTATGCGACGAAACCTCCTCCTCCATTGGCATAGCTCTGTCCGTTCTTAGTGTCGTGTATGGTGGTGGGAAGATCTCAGCGTTGGTAAATGAACCATCTAGAACTAGTACTAGTAGTAGTATTTGGTTTAATTTTTGTTTCAGTAATTCCTTAGCCTAGGCTTACTCTTAGCCTTACTTTAACCATAGATGCTTTAACTTAGGCTAGTTATAGTAGTAGTACTGTACTAGTAGTAGTATAGTGCTAGTACTCTTGGAGTCTTGCAGTTAGAGCTACCCCATATGTTATAGAGTAAAGTTGTAGCATTGTGTAATTGATCTATCGCAGTATCAATTTATTGTGTATCGATCTATCGCAGTATTGATTCATCATTTATCGATTTATTGTATTAATCGTGACCTACTGTATATCGATTTCGAACTGTGTTTGGTATTGGAGTGTGAACAGTTATCACCATTGTGAACATGATAAAACACAGTCGCCGTATACGGTATCGGACCCTGCAACACCCACATTTCGTTTTCCTGTAAAACCTCAACTTTACAGGACCGAATGTCCTGTCAAAATAAAATGTTTTGACGACTCCTGGCACACAGTTTTCACATAGTGGTCATTATCAATTGAAAATGACTTCAGAATGATTAAATAAAAAACATGTTTAAAAGTAGTAATTCAACCACAATACTATAGGCTGGACTGTGTTTGAATTTTCATAAATTTACCGGAATGACTCTTAAGTTGGATACCCATCATTGATTTCAGGTATTTGGGAAACAGTGGAGAGTCGATTTTGTGCAAGTTTATGAAGGCAGACTATAGGAAAAATGAGACTAACGTTACCACTCCAGAAGCAACATATTGGTAATGCCTTTAAGCGACTTTGGAAATACCAGAGTGCTCTAAAAGTGCAAGAGGCAAAGGTAATTAAGCAATCAAGAGCTCATAATAGAGAAGAGTATGACATGTTTTAATAGCGGTTTGCATAGTGTTTAACTTGTAAATATTCTATCAATATGTGAATAAATATATTCAAACTTTACCTTGTTTTCGTCAATGATTCTCCCTTAATCATATGACACCACCAATTTACCAGAAAATCGTATGTGTTCTTCAAAAAAGTTCTTTGAATACGGCACGGTTTCACACAGTTTTCCCAACAATTCGCATCTGAGCGGCGCATGTTGACATGCGGCGGCAGCACCAGGTTGTAACTACGGGACGCTGGGGGCTGTTGGGGATATTAGGTAAGCACAGTAACAGCACTTGTTTCGCTTCCTTATCATCAGGAACACGATGGCAACACAGCTCAAATCAGCTGCTATAGCTCGCCGTGAGCACACATTGATATTTCTAGCACGCTGAAAACGCTACATGCTGAATACAATTCGATGCCTAATATCCCCAACAGCCCCCGGCATTCCGTCATAGACAATAGAACACTAATCCGATAATAAACTTGCGCCGAATAGATGCAAACATTTGGGAAAACTGTGTGAAACCGTGTCGTATTCAAAGAACTTTTTTGAAGAACACATACAATTTTCAGGTAAATTGGTGGTGTCATATGATTAAGGGAGAATCGTAGATGAAAACAAGGTAAAATTTGAATATATTTATTCACTTATTGATAGAATATTTACAAGTTGAAGACTATGCAAAACGCTGTTAAAACGGTGTCATACTCTACACTATCATGAGCTCTTGAAGCAATGCATGTATGTTTACGAATTGAGATGGTTATCTCAGTTTTATTTGCCGAGTAGGCATTACTGTGTGATAGGAGTGGTATGCTAGCTGTTAGTGTTACCAAGAGGCTTCAATGAGTTGTTCTAATAGAAAAAAATCTCAATTGTGATTTCAGGTACCAAAACCATGGGTGAGCATGGAGATTGTAGATCCAATTTTAAAACCAAAAACGAGGTATGAACCATTTAAATCACCTGATCCACGATTATGTCCAAAAGTAAATGGAAAAGAGCATCCAAAATGGAATGACAAAGTTGCTTACCGTTTCACACCATCGACCAAGCTGATTGAGGGTAAATATTCCTCTTTACATTATGTAACGATGTATGCCACCAATGATTATGCTTATACACTGTCGGAGCTACCGCTGGCATTTGCCACCTTAACTGAACAAAATAACTTTGGTGGCTCAAGTCTTGGATCAACCTTTAAAACATTCAGAGGGAGCCCTGCACTTTGTTAAATTTGGGTTTAAAAACTAAAAATTCATGTCAATTGTGAACCTTATATATTGTAATGCTAATTTGATAATAAAACTTTTTTTTTAAATCCTACAAGATAGAATTCATAATTGCTATTCATGCTGTTATTATACAGATATGTTGTCACATAGAATTGCAATTCTTGTGAAATCTGCTTTGAAATGTATTTTATTGATGTTTTGTGTCATGCACCTGTTAGTGGGTTGTTCTGCTTTCTTCATCATGCATCTATTCATGATTCTATTTGTTGTAACTGTTTGCAGGGGAAAAACAAGCAGCATTACTCTGCAAGAGCCAGGTGTTCTATAATCTACCAGAACAGCTGCAGCAGTTGACTGGAGTGGCTAAGATTAAAGACCAGGATTTACTAGTAGAGAATTATATCCTGCAAGCGTGTAGGTGGGATCCCATGTATGAAAGGTTGCCAAAATTATATGACAGAGAGCGCCCGAATCGTGTGTTTAGAAGGCAGTATGGAATCACCGATAGGCGAAAGAGGTAATTAGGGTACAATTAGTATATGACCGATGAAACTGCATTCTAAAATTGTCCCCATGCAAATATTTAGTAACAACGTTTCCATACTTGTATGTCAATTATTTTACATTTAAAAGGTTTTCACGTGTGATTTTGTTTCATTTCTGAAAGCTTAAATAGTATTCGACAGCTAACTGTGTGCTGTCACACAGTTAGATAAGATGTAACAATAACAGCTGAATGTTTTTAATGTGAATTTTGTTTCAGGGTGTACTCTGTGTGCCAAGTTGACCTTTCATTAACCTTTATCGTTTTGTAGTCATGTCATCATTCACAATCTGGCACGACTTGCGAGTACTCTGGCTGGCCAATACCCCGAGTTTCTACAGCAAAGACAACACATCTACAACTCATACTTCAGCTGTCCTATGGAAAACAGTTAGTCATACTCTGCTATTACTTGTTTACCTTTCCTTGTACCAACGCTTCTGTGCTAGTTAACATTTGTGTGAAAGCAGACCGCATATGATTTTTTTTTCAAATCCATAAACAAGGAAAATGTAAAGGAAAAATGAATGTCCTCATATAATACTTAAATTTTACCTCCGTTGATGTTAATGTTGACTGTTCTCTTTACATGGTTTATGTAGAAGTTCAAGGGATATTAGGCTGAATATATTACTAAATAACATGTGCTGCTGTTATAATGGGTCTGGCACCTGTTATTTTCTACATTATAGATATAATTTCAAATGTTATTGTTAGTTTTTATATTGTAAATTTTCTCATGCTGTATTTTGTCGTGGATAACCATACAATCGTTCGTGATATCTTTTTCATTGTAGTGGGAGACCTCATATTGATAAATGGAACCGTGCACATTCATATTACCAGCAAAAAATGCCTGCCAGCTTTTGCAACTGATGCTGAGGTCACGGCAAGTGAAAACCATCACCTAGCGGACATCTTTCCCCTTAAGCAGACTATTGATCTTTCAAAGGAAAACATTTATACTGCTGAAGAACAAATAGGTAATCACTAATCCATTATATAGGTCAATCAGTAAGGAAACTGTTCATGTGTAGCACGACTGGCACTCTTGTATTAGACCGGCAGCAAAAGACATCATGGGTACATTTTAACTAATTCTGCTTCTCTGAACTTGTTCTAGAAGCTAATATTAAATTATACGACATTTTTAGCTGATGTGGCAGAATAATAGTCACATTCGTACAAGTAAGAGTAGTGGTAGAAATGGTGGCAGTGGAGGCGGCATCGTTGGCATCATTTTTGTTGTAATGGTAGACGTGCTTGTAATAGAGGCAGTGGTGGCAGCAGCAGCAGCAGCAGCAGCAGCAGTAACCACAGTAGTAGGCACAATATAGATGTTAGCAGATCATCAATAGTAACTGGTAGATGAGTGTAAGTACTGTGCACTAGTGATGTTGCTTGACATTTATAATTTACAGGAACCAGAAACAGACATTTCTTACAGTCTTAATGGCAATTTCTTAATGGCATTGTCTTCAATATTATGTTTGGCGTCATCACTGTTTCAAGTCAAGGAAAATGCACTCTTTGTAGGAACACTGAAACTTTTAAGGAATTTTAACATAAACTCTTTCGATATCAGTAGAATCTATGCATTTTCCACTGTTTAATTTCTCACGGGCAGGTTTAGCTGGAAGGACTGACTCCCACCCGCATACCCTTCTCACAAGAAACCCACATTACACTTACATAGACAGCCAACTGAATTCAAAGGCAATGATGCACTGCATGGCTCACTGTATAATTGAAGCTCATAGAATGTATGGGGTACGTATGAGATATGGATTGTCTTTAAATCACTGTTTTGGTTACAGGATGTAATGTATATATTGCGTATTGTTCGTATATAGGCTGTTTTACACGTATGTGCTTTTCCGGACTGCGTACTAGTCAGTAGTTTAGGAAAATCTGTTTGTAGTTTAAATCTGTTGCATGTATAACACAGGCAGATGTCAAGCAGCTTCCTCAACCAATCACGGTGCAGCATATTGGCGTGAACCACACCGGTCAGGTGTTCTACTTCACAGCGTTCCAGTTGAATACACTGGACTTCAGTAGCCATGATGGTGTAAAGAACTTCACATGGTAAGCTAATCCTGTGGGCTGCGATCCAATCGAACAGCCGCAGGAGTAGTAGTTTAATTAGTACATCATGAGAGTCACTTTGTGCATATTGCTGTTGTTGATCATCAAAAGTCAATGGTTGCCCTGTAATGTCTTCTACATGTTCTAGTATTAAATGACACAAGTTCTGTATAAGAATGACTGTCCCTTCGTGCCAAGTTGCATTTTGCCATTGCATTTCCATTTTGTTTACCAATGTCTAACCTGTTCTAAGTTGGCAATACTTTTTGACAGTGGTTTATAATGATTGTGCATTCTTCCAGGTTTGATGGTGGCAACGAGTTGTTCTCAGACATCACCAAAGATGGAAATGTTGTTGGCTATAACCCAGAAGTATTCAAAAAAGTTCTTGCTTTCTATCTAAATGGTCTATAGAAGATCTGGGAATATCTGTGTATGATAGTCAACAGCCAAACTCCTACTTGTTTCATGCTTTAGTTCGAAGTGGTGTCGAAGGTATATATATACGTCATGTTTATTGACGTCTCACGCAACTTCACACTTACAAATAATGTCATCGATCAAGCTGTGGCTACATGTTACATGGACAGGCTGTGTAGTAGGTTGAGGTTGTGATGAAGCAGGTAATTCATACAGATTTGCCTGACCACCTAGTAGATCAACACCATTTTTTAGATGATCCTGTAACTATATATATATATATAATACACGATTATATTAAAACTGAAAATCTGATATTAAAAAGAACTTCTTCTCGTCTCGTTATCCGTGACATTGCGGGACGATATGTAATAAGGCTTATGATTGTGCAACGTGGTGTATTACAACAGAAACCTTGCTAATACTTGGAAATTGCAAAAACTAATTTGTATCAGAATAGCTTGTAGATGCTTTTAATAGAAATGTATATATGGCTTTTAGTTATTACAAACTATGAACAGTTACGCATAGTACGACCCGTTCCTCAACGTAGACGGGGTATCCAAAACATCTAGAGCTGCATGAACTCCCTCCACGTATGATTCGCCACACAAACAAAAACTTGCGACAGTCTAAGAAATCGATTGCGGCATCGGCCGGCATGTAGTGCAGCCCAGTGTTTTTATGACCGCATAACAATAAGTTTTTATATCGCAGGGGTTATCGTGGGGAGTGAGGGCACGACCAGTGACACCTGACACGCACGTAATCAAAGCTGTTAACTGAATTCGTCACTTTTCTGAACGTAGGAAGTGGGCTATTTTTATTTGGTTAGATATCTAGAAGCAATTTAAACTGTATATTCTAGTAAAGATTCTAGGCACTTGTAACTTTGCGGATGTGCGGCAGCATTGATCTATGCATGGGTGTACCGTGGACTGGGGAGGAGAAAAACGAAAGTAAAACCTTGCACAGAAGCTCCCGGCATTCCTAGAGATTCCAGTACAAGTTTTTTTTAACATATTCAAAGTAACTAAAAACTCTCTATGAAGTTCTGAACTTGCTCAGTCGATGTAAAAAGAAAGTTGAAAAATGAAAAGAAATGAAGTAAAAAAAAAGAAACTTGAAAATAACCATACCATCATTACCATGATTATAATTCTTGATTTGTGATCGAATGTAATTTGTTGACGATTTCTTAACACTGATAGTCTGATACTGGTGCTGAGTGCTGAATGCTGATGAATGATATTAGAGTCAGTGCATCAAAATTATGAAAATTTTAACAAAATTATGCTATGAAAAAGTAGCTCTGGCCAAGCCTAAAATAGCTCCCCTAAAAAAAATTACGAGAACTCTTTTTTTCATACAAAATTAAATCAAAAAAGAGCGAGCTCGTAAAAAAAGAGTAATTTTTAGGCTGGCCTGTCGGTTGACAAAACCTGCGTTCCTGCAAGGAGGGCCATTGTAGGTCTAGCTGCGGTCATTTGTGTAACACTTAGTTTGCTGGTAATTTCCCGTTACAAAGCGCGCTGCTCGTCTCTGCACTTTCTCCAGGGAGGAGATATCCTTCTGTGTGTGTGGATCCCAGACACTACTTGCATACTCGAGGCTTGGCCTCACATATGCTTTGTATGCCATCTCTTTGACAGGTTCTGGGCATCCTACAAGGTTCCTGCGGATGAAATTTAGGGCCCGGGTTGCTTTTCCTTTCGACCGGCTGATGTGGGTAGACCAAGAAAGGTCATCAGTGTGCTCCATGCCAAGGTAGAGTTGATGTTCCTCTTTTTGAGCTTGGTTTCCATGATGGTATAGGTCTGCTTTATTGGGGTTTGTTTCCTTGATATTGTGAGGCTGGTG